TGCGGCGACGGAAGCCTACGGGACGAGATAGGGAGCCTCGTCGTGTGGGTCCTTCATGTTTCCAGGCAATTCACTTACTTTGATTTGATTGGTCCCCGCGTATGATCCGGTTTTGGCGTGCACGTGCGATCCTCTTTCCTCCCTTGGCCCTGTGCTGCAAGAGGGGAAAGCTCCGAAGGGGGTTGGCTTTGGCATTGTGTTTTGCGAACCGCGGGGCCAGAGTTATATCGGCAAATCCCCGGCAGCAATCAACGTATTGGTTGTTCTTATTAGAGTTGGCAACAGCCAAAGTCGATGGCTCTCCCGTTCGCCTTCTGTTTATGGCCCCGCGACGTCGAACCTTCCGCCAGTTCCTTCCATTCGAGAGGATCCCTCGCCGACTCGGAGCGTCCTAAACGAGCCGTGAGCGTATCCGGTTAACCCCGCGACAACCGCCTGGGCGCTCGTTCGTGTTCGCGGTTTTAGGTCTTTCGTACTGGGCGTCTCGAAACTAAAAGACAGGGGCTAAAACTTGGGTCTCGTAGGAAACGTTGATTCCGAGCAGAGATAGGCCGTGTAAGTGTTCCTTCACGAAGTTATTATCCGAGGTATTTATGTACATTAGACTTTTAAAAATTGTTTAAACGAATATGAAATGAGTAGCTTGTGTAGTAACGAGAATCGAGTTTAAAATGGAAACTATGTTGTAGGCTAGTACCTACAGCAAGATATAGTGTCTCGTATAGATTACATTTGAACGATCTTCAGCGAAGAACTGGTTTCTCAAGTCACGCATACATAACTCTGGGAATCTTGAATGAATCTGCTCTGCGAGTAAGGCCTCGGTAATCTTCACCAGGCAGCTCTAGATTATCGTACAGATAATTCTGTATTTTCTGGGATTCAGAGTGTCAAACATTCCCCCGTTCAATAATCTTCGATTCTTACGAAGCAACTCCTATAAATACTTACAGCGTTTCGACTGAATAGAAAAACTTTCAAAAAAAGGGTTGAACTTCGAAAGATATTTCGGTGAAAGGGTGGTATTCTTAGGAATGTTCCTCGCTTTCGCGAGAGACACCCCCCAGAGTTCTCGCTCGTCGAACGTTAAACGAGTCGGGCAGAAGGTTCCACCCGGGGGTGGGAATTTCTGACGATATACGAGGAAACTCGTTCTTTTTTTTTTTTTTTAAGAAGCCCGTGAGTTATGGCCGAAATATTTTCACTCTAAGCGCGCTCTCCTCTCTCGAGTTTCCCCCCGGCAGCCTGGGCCCAGCCCCTTTTCCCCACCGCCCTTGTCCCCCGCCCCCGCCATCCAGATCTTTCTTTCTCGTTTCCCCGGATGAAACACGTTTCACGGTCTCAGCATAAAATTTATCCACCCCCTTGGTTAAACAGCCACGCACGCCTCTTCTTACTTTTTCCGGGGAGCGTGGCGGCCCCGACAGCATCCCCCTAACTTCGTTTCGCTCAGGATCTCCCACGGGGCGTGCGTAAGCTGGGGCGAGGGGCCACGATGGCTGACCGAGTCCGAGGGAAGGTACGACGGATGGGAAAAGATCCGCCGGTGGAATCTAAGAATTCGAAGGAATATAAGAATTCTGTGCTTTTTTTTACCATCTCCTTCGGAAGTATAAAAATACAGGGGTAGAATCTAAGAAATCGAAGGAATCTAAAAATTTTGAGGCTCTTTTTACCATCTCCTGGAGAAGTATAAGGGTACAGAGGTAGAATTTAAAATTTCGAAGGAATATAACAGTTCCGAACCTTTTTGACCATTTTCTACAGAAGAATAAGAGCGAAGATCGCGATCAAATTTTAATTATTAGCACAGTATTGTGAGAAGTACGACTCCTTAAATCTTTTGCCATTATAACACCAGTACTTAAGTTGTTGCTGGTAGACTCGTCATTTGAATCACGTTATCACTTACAAATTGTTAAGTTTGTTCCTACCATATAGTGACATCGATCACCAGTGCACCCTATGACAGTAAATGTGTCAAAGTGTAGTTTCTCTCATGATATTCACATAACCAAGGGTGTGTTACAAGGTTGTCATTAGTAAGAACACTCTATAGGTATCTGTACAATATAATTCAAAGTATCTAAAAAAAAAAAAAAAAAAAATACGAGAAACGTCCAGGAAGGACTAACGGCAACTAAACAAAATACGTTACTTATGCAAAACTAAGCTACTGAAAGTGTAACGAGGTATACCGAAAGTATAGGAGGGTCCGTCGCATTTTCTGCTTCGCGGAGACGTACGAGGCCCGGCTTAATTGGCTGAGGCCACCCCCCACCGGTTTTATTTATAAGTTCGAGTCTATCGGCACAGCCCCTGCATTCTCTCACGGCGGTTCGAGGTGGTTGGGGGACAGGGCCAAGGGGATGCTCGTCGCTGATATAACTCCCAGGGATGCTTCGGGGTGGTGGAAAGGAGACACCGTCGACGGGGTCTGCTGTGACAAATAACCCTTATAAACGGTACACCATAACTTTGCGGCGGTGGTGGCACGCGGGGGCGAACGCTGCGAGTCTCTGCATGACAACCTGAAATGAAAATCATGGGGATGTTGTGCAACAGCGATGGGCGTGGAAGGGAGGATAGAGCGCGAGAAGAGGCGGCCAGGGAGGGGAGGGAAACGTTCGAACGGTGGCGGCGGGCCACTTGATTACGTTGCGATAATATACATGACGCCGATATGAACTCCGGGTTCGCCGCGTGTGTTGTTGCTCGTCCCCGTGCGATATTGCGTAATGGCCACCTGGAAATGGTCCGGTGCGTCGCGGCGTTCCCGAAGCCACGGGGAGAGCGCGCGCTAGCTACCTAACTCTTCTGTCGCGCGCGAGCGGCACTCGATAATAGATCGGAGCGGATACGATTGTAAATATGACGCGTTTATTGCTCGCCGTTTCGATCCCTGCCCGACCGTGAAAGTGTGTACGACAAGCCGCGAGATACCAGGGGGGAGGGTACCAAACGTTTTGCCGGCGCGCCGACCCTGTTTCGCTCTCTGATTCCGATCGAAACTACCCCCCGGGAAATTTGTTCCGTTCGACGGAAGCTATCTGTGGGACTCCAGATCTAACTGCCGAAAAATCACACCTCGATTATGATACACGACTTCCTGTTGGTCGAGTGGATAGAGCTTGGTTTAAGCTTTTTCGTTTGGTAGGTTTGATGGATCTATGCACTTGCTGAGATCAGGGTTGTTTTCGTTGGGAGAATGGGTGATTACGCACCCGCCCCATGAATATCCATCGATATATTTGGACTCCAGAGCCAGAAAAATACAATTAATTTTAAATTCAATTTGTTGTCCCTTCATTGGAGAATTGTGATCCTTCAAGATTGTTTGAATTGTCGTCAAGTGTATAAGAGTCTTTACAAAAAATGTAGACTATTTCGTCCGTGTTATAATTCATCAAAATTCACTTTGCTTTCCCTATGTAATATTTATTAAGAAACTAAATGTATGTCCTCGTGTATCGCACCAGTTCAAAAATAAACCGTATCGGGATATACAATACACGCAATACCTCCCGCCAACAGCTTCATCGAGCGGCTCAATATCACCCCCGTCACTTATCTCCAGCGGCGGTGGTGCCTGGCAGGGACGCTGGGCGGATTAATTATTCATAACAATTAAACCCTTCGAGTGAAATTAATTTCTCGGTTTATCGCGTAATAAGCGGCGATAGATGGGTTCGTGGGTGGGGCTTTTGCCGTTTAACCGGAATTAATTGTTCCGAGCGAAACGAGTCCAGTGTCGCCCGGAGACCCGGAAAAACCGAAAAGGGTTCCTACGGCCGGTAGGCAGGCAGAAATCGTATTACTACCGGGCACCGTTTATACACTTCGATATAAACCGTATGCGAGAGCGAACGTCGCGTGAAAGGCAGAGAAGCGGACTGCTTACGGCGGCTGTGGGGGCCAGAGGGTTGCTTTGGTCTCCGCGCGCGTTCACCGGCAGAGGTGAAACGGGAGGAGAGTTTTTACGAGGCAGTAACGGCCGATAAGGTGAGCTTGCGCCCCCACAGACGGGTTTATTCCGGTACTGTACCCAAGTGGCTGTTCGACAGTACCTATCCCGGTGTCGTACACTCTCTTACTTTCTCTCGGTGGCCCCGGCCGCGACTCCCCGGCTCTATCTGAAACCGTTTACGCGCCTCTTCTCTCTGTTTCCTTCTTTTCTCCTTTTTCCTCCCCGCTCCGTCCCTTTAATACGCCCACCTAAGAGCATTCTGCTCGTCGCGGCGTTATCGCGAGCGTTACGGGGGATTTCGGAGACCTCTCGAAAACTCTGTGGCGTGCCTTGTACCGTGAAACGCCTCTATTTGCCGTTCCTCTGTTCTACGGGGGTCGAGATCGTGAGATTGTCGCGTTCCCTTTAAGTCGTGGGACAATCCTGTGGCGGTGGAATAAGTCAGTGTGCTTGGTGGTTCAAGAAACCGGGGATTATCGACTATTTCGAAGCAGAGATTTCAGTTTTGAATCAAGGTTGTGGTTCTCCGTACGTATTATATATACAAAATATACGACAGTTTTATATGGGAAGACTTGTGTAACTAGTGTCGTCAACGTTCGTTTCTGCTAGGCTCTTAACACTTGGGCAACCGTATTGGGAAACACCATACTCTGTGAGTTATTTAGACCTCTATCTTTTCATAGATCACTATTGCAGACGCGATGACACAGGTAGTCGCCCAAGTGTTAAAGCTAGGTAAACATCACAGCAACAATTTATTCCGAAAAAATACCATCAACCGTACCCCTCGGTCCCACCGGAAGTCATCGTTCCGAAGGACGGGTGGATGCTGTACCGCGACGGTTGCCGGCGTGTAAACGTTATTACTCTTCGGGTCGGACGGGTTGCTCGTGGGCCCCGTTGGAAACCATCGGGCCCCGTAGGAGGGTGAGGGACGGGGGGGAGGGGCGAGAAACGAGCCCCGAAAAGACACACGCGATCGAGAAGGAGCTCGTTTGAACGTTTCGTGTGGTTTTTGTTGGGTTTGCAGGGGCGAACGGAATGCGCAGGCGCGGCCGACAGACCTACACGCGCTACCAGACGCTCGAGCTCGAGAAGGAATTCCACACGAACCACTACCTCACCAGGCGGAGGCGGATCGAGATGGCACACTCGCTCTGCCTGACGGAACGGCAGATCAAGATCTGGTTCCAGAATCGGCGGATGAAGCTGAAGAAGGAGATTCAAGCGATCAAGGAGCTGAACGAGCAAGAGAAACAGGCGCAGGCGCAGAAGGCGGCGGCGGCAGCGGCCGCGGCTGCGCATCAGCAGCAAGCAGCCGGTGGGGGACCGGAGGGGGCCAACTAGGGGTACGCCCTGCACCGGAGCCCCCCTGACCACCCCACCGCCAATCCACACCACCCTCTGCTAGCACCGCAATGTACACAGCTATATTAAAGGTGAGTGACTTCGATACCGATGTTTTCTAATTTTATTAGTCGCTTTTCACCCCCCTTTTGCCCCCCTATCCGCCCCCCTCCATCGTTTTGCTGCAATCTCCCCTCCCACCATTTGAACATCAACCTGCTAAGCCACCAATTTCTACCGGGCCCTCCCATCACGGTCATTCTCGTGCAAGCGAGGTTACTTCTTGTTCGATTGCAGATTGTAGATTCCGAGGAGGTTATTCGGTTCCTTTTGATTTGTGGTTAATAGTAGTCTATCTACTACTAATAAGAGGGTATCTGTATTACGATTTGACTGACTTTCCATTTACGCCGATTTATTTAACACTGGAAATTTTATTATACGATGGACACCGGTGACCGACGCGGCAGTGAATGTGTTAAACTGCCTAGCTGATCTTTTTAGATCGTGTAATGCACTGTCCATTGTTAAAGATCGTCTGTAAGTTTCAGAATAAGTGGGAAGAGTCAGGGAATTCCTATAATTCATTCTAATTTTTCTAAGTTCGCGAAGTCGTGAATTATTCTGCGTTTGGAAATATGAACACCCACGTTCTAACAACAAAAGTCATCTTCTGGCGGATCTTGAGCCCTGAACAAGGTACCGGCGTCCTCTCCACGAGCAATCCATTGTTTTCTTCTAGACGAATATATGGTGGCCACTTTTCATCGCCAGTGACACACACGGTGGCTTAGAAATGGTCGATTAATTCGCGTTTCTAGTGCCGCGGCACGAATGTTAATAGAATGCATTCTGCTACCAACAATTCAAACCCCATCTCGAACATTTTTCCTTTTTCTTGTACATGTTATTTAGCTATTTCTGTCCTAGCAAATACATGTCTATGCAACACCGGAATTGTCTTGAAACAGGTCAGACCCTTTACCAGACAGCTTATAGGTAGACAAACCGCAAAGGGTTAACAAGCATATCATCATTGCTCTTTCTTTCCACCTTTCGCATCAAGATTATACGTTCGCGGTTTATCTTTCGACCGCAAGATCATTCTCGATGACTCCCACAAACCGAGACACTGAATCTCCTCTCATTCTAACCACTAATACTTCTTTCGTGACCAATATCAAGTTTCAGCTGTGACTGAAGCTCGAATACATCTTTCATTTCTTCTACGATCCCTAACAAGTTTCCAGAAATAGAAAAGTAGGAAGCTGAACGAACGGTTACATCAACGACACGCAGAACTCTTGTCCAGGAAGCGTGGACGACCCAAGTACATAATCGAAATTCTTCGAAATTTGGGTGAACTCGTTCAACTTCCATCGGATGCTGCAATCTGGCGGGGTCTCGAGCCCGGTCGAGGCCCACCCTTCGTAACCTAAATTCGAAAGGGTTGTCGCAACTCCCTCCGATGGTAATGGATTCTCCCTGGGCGTTGCGCACCCCCTTCCCTCCGTGGTGTGGTCGCGACGAGCACCCCGTTTACCCCCCACGGTTGATATATCATCAGCGGAAGTTACGGGAACCTGAAGAAAATGTTCGCTAAAGAGTATTACGAATGTGGACAGGCGCTCGCTTTCAGCCGCCGGTTTCCGGCCTTTAAAATTAAGTTTAGCCGGTACACTTAATGAGGATAAACCACCTGCGAGCGTGCCTTCATAATTCCCTAAGTTATTCTGTTCGCGTGCATTTAACTCGCGCCTCGCTGAACCTTCTGCATCTCAAGGGGTTCCCGCGGCCGCGTCGCTGAAATGTTACTCCATCGTGATTTTCATGTATATTTTCACTTTTTTTTTTGTCTCCTTGCGTTCCCGCGGATACCGCAGACGTTAACGAAGCGGCTCCGTAATTTCCCCGATCCCTCGCGGGGTCTTCCCCGAGACTTTTCAGTGGCTTTTCTTACTTTAACGTTTTGTGAAGTGTAATTTTTTGAATTTATTTCTTGTTGGAAACTTTCAAGAAAATGTTTCGATTCTTTGGAACGAAATTTCTCAATTTTTGTGCTGAGAAAATCTAGTATGGGGTCTCCAGCTATTTAGAAACAGCTGGAAATCGTTAATGGAAGTTGATTTTTAATCGGTATGAATTTCTTGAAATTCTAAAACTTACTTTGCAAAAATTAACTGATAAAGGATCTATTCAGTAGAAGTTTCTTTTTTACAATATGAAACGAATTATGTGAATTGATATAACATTTCCATATCACAGTAGAAAATTCCAGTGTAAAATTCAACGCGCACACTATAGAAATGCTAACCGACAAAGAAAGCGTCGTAAAAAGCATTCGTTTCTTTCAACGTCCACGGGAAGAATCCTTAAAACGACGGTCGGCGAAGGAACGCCCGAATTCCCAGAATATTCGAAACTTTCTCCTCTTTTCTTCGCGCGGAAAAAATACGTAGTAAAGGGAAAAAGTGAAAACTGTCTAAAAAAAGAAAGTAGAAAGTTTCCGTTCAGGTAGAGAAAAAAAAGGAAGCACCCAAGGAAAACGTGGTGTCAGTTCCTGTATCTACCTCGAAGATCCTCCGGTGTAATTTGTATTTTCGTCCAGGGTACGACCATTCATCCTCGAAAAACGAACGACCCTTCGAATTGCTTGGATCGAGCGGGGGTAATATCGGCAGTAAAAAAAAAAAGGTCTTCGGTTTTTCTGCGCTTTCACCGTCGTCTCCTAGCCACCCCTGGTTCGGGCTTTTATGACTCGTTGCATGTTTGGGTGGAGAAAAAGGATTCCAGGGAAACGTCCACGGCCGTTTCGACGGAAGTTGACGGCCCGGGTGACTTTCTTTCCGACTTTACAATGCGTTCTTCATTGCATCCTGTGCTTCATGGTTGTTCAGGAGAACTTTCGTCGTTGGAGAATCTACTTACACTCGTGGTGCTATTATTTTCCATGTGAAAGTGCTTGGGTATATTCATTCTTTACCTAATATTTAAACCCTTCAAGTGTGTCCTCGATGAGGTATAAAAGTTTGTGGTATAGTCGACTCAGATTCTGTGACTGGTTTTGAATTCTAATTCGAAGTATAGTGCAGGATAAGTGATGGTTTTTACTGTAACAGTTCGGTGAGCGAACAACAGTGTATCTGTTAGACGAACGTTAAATAATGGAAACAACTTAATATTGATGAGAGATTGCACTTAATTAATGTACCATTTATATGAGAAATTAATAAATACGCTGGGAGGATTATATTTATAGATTATTCTGAAGAAAATATCAGTGATTAGTACGAAAAAGTGGAGTTGGAAAAGATTCAGAGGCCGTAGTGTAATTACGACAATTAGTAATCTCATAAAAATTCTTGTATGCAATTTTTCATGGTACTTCATTGCAATTGCACATGCACAATACACGATGCTCTGTTTCTTAGAACAATGTAGATCTCTCGAAATTAAAATTACTAATCGTGACAGTGGAAGGATCGGTATACACTGCATATCTGCCTAAAAATGCTCCGGTAGCTTTTATTTCCCGAAAGTTAGAGGCGCGTGGTCTTCCGATGACCTCGTTCGAAATCTCATTATCAGTCCGTGGAAACGATTAACGCCCTCCCCCCCAGGGTAAGAGAAATTCGCCCGATAATTCTCGGTCCCCTTCAAATCATATCTCTCTTCGGTGGGTCTCGCAGATAAACGGAAAAGTTTATAAAGTTTCTCTCGCCCGGCAGTATCTCACCGGCCAGAGGAATTCGCCAATTAACTCCACGGAACTGCATCGTAATTGTAGGCTTGCCAGGGCGCCGATTCAACGATACCGACTCCGGTGTGATGTTTAATCGATGCACTCGTTCCGCCGATTGTCGCAGTTTCGACCCCCCTTTATCCAACCGAAACTCGACGAAGCCTCCATTTTCAGTTCCCCTCTGTGCAACGACAATGTTCCTTCGTGACCGTTAGATAGAATTTTAGATGCGCGAATAACGATGATCGCGTCGAATTGTGCTGGGCGCATTATGGACTCTGTCACGCATCGCGGTCTTCGCGGAAATAGGGATGAGACCGGAGACTCGTAACGGGGTGATTGTTTGTGGAAAATTAACCTGATCAACGATTCGCAGGGATTTTCTCGTCTGTTTACTCGCTGAAACGATTCGATGTTTTACTTGAGGTTTGGTTAGTGGAAATTCGTAGGGGTAGATTTGTCATTTTATGATATAAAATACAGTATTTTTGTTTGTTCTGTTTAAACTCAATATTGGAAAGTGTTTAAAGAAGTAGGAATAATTATGAAAAGTGTTCATGAATCATACGATTTCTTTAACCTCTTGCCTTACGATATTTGAAGACTGCAATCTCAAGAATTATTTTATCGTTAGGAATTTCCCAGATGTTAAAAGAATTCTATCATTATGGCAAGTATAACATTTACTCAAACGATCCTCCGTAGAAATAACTAAATCCGAAGAATCTAAAGAAGAGATTCGTGGTCAGGGGATGAAATAGACGTGTTCCAAAAGTGATTCTCATTACCAATTGATTTTTAAAACATCATTCTAAAATTTTTATTCGATCGTCTTGTTTATACGTTAAAAGGTGCAGTTCCAATGAACATTTAAAGGCTGTGGTGTAATTTTGTCATCCAAATCCGTGGCACAGCAGCATTGCTGACCAACCTCCACCGGAAATAATCAGTTTCTCCGCCTGGCCTTCCCGCACCGATTTCGCCGACTGTATACCCTTTCTTTATCGTCCGCGTTCCTCATCGGCGCGAGCGCTGTGTTTTTTACGACACAAAGTAGATCGTTAGCCAAGGGTGGAGGGGAGGGAACATGGAATACTGCCAGAAACTATAATCGCGTCACGCTCGAACAGTAGCGGTCCGCGGTGGGATGGTAACGTCGCGGGTATCGGGACGGGAAATCGATTAGCACAACGATAAATTCCGTTTTGAGTTATATTACCATATTAATTACATATTTATGACGTTATTTGTTAGGCCGGCCCGGGCACGGGCGGTGGCGCGCTCGCGCGACCGTGTTTCTGTTGCATTGTTTCGCGCGCTCATTAAATCGCGCATTGATAGCGGGTCGCA